CCACCAAGTCATATGTGTATCTTCATTGTTTAAAATATCTTCTACTCTCACATTCCCGGTTACATCTAAAAAATCTTGATATTTCAATTTTTCATATTTAGTATATAAAGAAGGTTTAACACCTCTTCATATACTAAATATAACCACTAACACCAGAATGTCTTTTATTAAATTTTATTCCGGATACTTTCAAGAAAAATGAAATATATCTAGTGATGCAGATTATCACAGCAGCCAGAATTGTGTATGCTAGTAAGTGGGAAAATGAGGAAATTCCTTCTAGAGAAGAAGTGATCTCTAAGATACTAGATGTGGCGGAGATGGAGAAATTAACTTTTATTTTACAAGAAAAAGTTTATGAAAACTTTGATAAATACTGGTTAAATTTTTATAGATGGTTAAAGGAAAGAAATTAGCTTAAACTAGCGGAATTTAGTTGATTGTATCTGAAATGGATATGAAAGATATATATAAATATATGAAAGCACTTAAATGTTCTGGCAATTAAGTTATGATAGTGGAATGTATATACTGCGTGAAAAGATGGAACCTATCTGCAACCAGATGTTATGTATCAAGATGGAATTTTCTGTGTTGTTGTTTGTTTGTTTTTTCTTTTTTTCTTTTTCTCTTCGTCAATTTGTCAAATATAAATAAAGAAAATGTTGGGGGGAAAAAAGAAAAGGAAAACACCTTTCCATACTTGTCAACAACATGAATGTATGCAACTTTAATGAATCAATTAAATGTTTGAAAGCTAGACAAGCAATTGATTAAAGGTGCATAGGAATGCATTCTTACTTGGAAGTAATCACTATTGGACTCATTGGGACTTCAGAATCAACATATATATTAGCAGGTTGCAAAAGATCATTAATCAATTACTAATTCTTAATATTTAAATAACCTAATTTCCTACATAAACAAATTGTATACACCACTGAGTGAGCCAGAATTTTGAATAAGGTACACTCAAGATACTCTTTAGAGCTCATTTGATACTCTTGACAAAGAAATAGACATTTTTTTAAACCAAGAACCTATTGTAATCGAAAGTGCTGACTGTGACAGTGGAAAGTTGGTGAACAAAGTACAGAAATTCAAGACCCTGCTTATATCCATACATCTCTTTTCCCAGATGACATGATGGCTCATTGGATCACCACAAGCATCTGTCACTTTGCTGCTCCATAAGAACATGCATAAGGAGCTGCGGTGGCTCAAGTGGTTAAGACACTGAACTGCAGGCTGTGGAAGGTCAGTAGTTCAGCGGTTCAAGACCCGGGTGCTGCAAGACGGGGTGAGCTCCTGTCTCTAGTTCCAGCTCCTGCCAACCTAGCAGTTCAAAAGCAAGAAATTGCAAGTAGATAAATGGGGATTCGACTGGCAAGGGAACCTTTACCTTTACAAGAACAGTGATAGTGAAGAAACATGCACCATATTCTCTCATATGGTTGAGACTTTGTTAATAGCACCCCACTGCTTGTAGTCCTTTGGTTATTTTGCTGTCATTGAGTAGCTTTTAAGGGTGTTACAAACAAGACTGTCTGATGGCTGCTTCACGTTATAAAAATTCTTACACAGAAATCTCTTCTTCATAGGAATTAAATGTGCACTCCATCTGTATTTGATCATATATGCCAGTCCACCCTGAGGAAGCGCAGTCAATTTCAGTTTCTTGGCTTGCTTACATGTAGTAAGGTGTGCACAGGACATGTGATGCTCAACAATTTGGATGGCAATTTCTACACAAGAAGAGGTAAACCTCAAGCGACTGCTGAACGTTTATTACAGCAGAATACAAAGCAGATGAACCCTGGTGTATTTCGATTTTAAATCTTCCAGGTTAGGGGTAGAATTCAAGTTTTTGATAGAAGCTTACTAGAGAAAGAACTCTGGGAAAGTACTTTTAAAACCGCCCCTATTAAGATTTTACAATTAAACACACTGAGCTATTTTTAAAAATGCTATCAATAAGCTTCTCCCTCAGCTCGAGAATTGCCTCTTGTGCTTTTGATTTCGGCGCTTTAGCACAGACATTCTGTAAAATACTTATATGAGTTTAGGCACAGCCAGAGGGCATCTCCGTTCAGGAGTGAGCACATGAAAGCGTATAGCATCAGGATCCATAAACCAACATATCCGATACGTATCTGTGAAGGAACCCTTCTACGGCGTCTCTCAACCCCGGCCGGCCGTCTCTTTCTTTTCGAGGTCGTACCTGGTTCATGCCAGCGTTAACGAAGTGCAGACTAGGGTCTCCCCGCGGACGCACAGGGGCGGAGGGCACCACTTGATGCCCATACCGCTCCTGGAAGAATTGGAGGAAAGTCTGTCGTACTCGCGAAGCGGAGAAGGAGGCGATTGAACGAGCGCCGCAGGAGCCACAACGCCAACCGGGAGATACCCGGAGAGCAGACCTCACGGAACCCTTGATGGCTGCCGCCATCTTAGCTACGGGCGGTATTTGGGAAAACACGGATTCAAGATTGCGGAAGAGGTCACCCTGGCCGCAGAGGATGGTGGGATTGTGAAAGGCGCGGTACAAAAGGTGATCCTCCCCCCGCGTGCCGGCGAGACCTAATATTTTTCCCGGGCCACGCCCACTAACAACTTTTAAGTCCTAAATCAGGATTTAAAAAAAAAAGTGACAACACATATTAATAAAATGGAGTGTAAAAAAGGAGACAAAATAAATAAATGCCTAAATGGAGGCAGAAGTAGGTATCAGGGGGATGTACCTTAATGATCGAACTCAAACGGGTTGCATTTGGAAACCAGTAGTCATCGGTGTGGGACCTGTGTTCCGCAGGGTGCAATTCTGTCTCTCCATACTTTCCAATCTATGTAAAGCCCTTAGGACAAATCATTTGTACTTTTGGGGTGGATTGTCATCAATATGCTGATGATACTCAGCTGTATATATTTTTAACTGGATCTCCTGATGATATGGTAAAAAAGGTAAAGGTTCCCTTGCTCGAAAGCCAGTGGAATCCAACTCTAGTGTTGCTGTGCTCCTCTCCATTTCAAAGCCGAAGAGCCAGTGCTGTCTGAAGACATTTCTGTGGTCATGTGGCAGGCATGACTAAACACCAAGGTGCAGGGAACACTGTTACCTTCTCACTGAAGTGGCACCTATTTATCTTCTTGCAATTTCTTGCTTTCGAACTGCTAGGTTGGCAGGAGCTGGAACTAGAGACGGGAGCTCACTCTGTCATGCGGCACTGGGGTCTCAAACTGCTGAACTCCCGACCTTCCACAGCCTGCAGTTCAGCGTCTTAACCACTTGAGCCACTGAATTGCTGCCTAGCCATGGTGATTAGCTGGCTAAAAGTGAACAAATTAAAACTAAACCATGAAAAGACAGAACTAATGCTGGTTGGGAAGGCTGAAGCCTCAAAGGACATTGTTCTTTCTGCTTTTGATGGTGTTTAACTGACCCTTGCGGACTCAGTGAAAAGCCATACTGGATTCAGCTTTAATACTAGAGAAGCAAGTTAATGCACCTCCAAAAAAGGCTTTCTACCAACTCAGCCTAGCCCATAATATCAGGACGGAGTGTAAACTATAGGGGGAGGGGGCAGTGGGGCTCAAGTGTTCCCTGGGATTTCTTGAGGGCAATGCCCCCCACCATGAGGTGCCAGGCAGCATTATGAAGCTGCTGAGGCATAAACTGTGCAGTTTAATCCTCCCCACTTGTACAGCATATTCCAACTCTGCTTTCTTTTCTGGGACTTTGGGAAATTTACTTACTACACATGAGCATCCTTCCATTGCCTTACCTTATTTTCTCCTTGGGACCTTTGGAAGTTCTGCCTAAAGCCCCCACTTTCAACCTGGGGATCATCGAAACGCACAATGTACTGGAAGTTAAGGTAATTTTGGTATTCTTGGACTTGCAGCTTTAGAGAAAAAGAAATAGAGGACGTGGGAACATTTCTGTCATTAGTATGTGTGTTGGGGGCAGAGGGTGAAGAGGCTTGTGGCTTAAATGCTGGAAGTTAAGGTGGTTTTGGTATCCTGAAACTTGAAGCTTTAGAGAAAAAGAAATGGAAGATATGGGAATAGCAACTTTTTTGTCTCTGTGGATCTGTACATGGGGCCAGGGCAGGGGATAAAGCTAGTTCACCAAATATGAAAAGTGAGGCAATTCTGCCAAACAAATGCTCCCATAAGTTCAGGTCGGGGTATCTGAGAAGCCACTATTTGCTGTGGATTTCCGATGGATTCTAAGATGCATTTGGCGATCGTCTTGAGGATCCAGTAAGTGAGAGGTGTGGTTGTTAAAAGAGTGTTGGTCTAAGATTGGGGAGATGAGAGTTCAAGTCCTCACTTAGCCACAAAGCACACTATGGGACCTTGGGCCAGTTACAGCTCAGCCTAAGTTGTGAGGAAAAGAGAGGGAGAGGAAGTATTTCCTTTCATACGTGAATGAAATATTTACTCAAAAAGTCTCAGTGAAGCAGTTCATGACATCTTCCCTCTCACAGAGTCCTCTTCTTTGACTGAGATTCAGGTTAGCCCCATGCCCCTCCCTGGGAAACTGAGAAGTCTGTGCCAATCCGTAAGATAGCCCCATACCTTGGTATGGCTGACTTGGCCAACATCAAGACTAGACTACTGTAATACACTGTACATTGGTCTCTCCTCAAAATAAGCTTGGAAACTTCACGTGGTCCAGAATGCCGTGGCATGGCTATTAGTAGAAGCTAGATGCAGCATCTTCCTCTTGGAAGCACAGCTAAATGTGGTGAGGGGATTTTATGTGTGTCAGTGAAGCTGAGACCAATACCAGAAGGGAACTAAACTCCTAGCAGAGTCACTCAAGGTGGAATGTTCACAACTGTGGCACCAGACTAAGAAGCATCCACACCCTTCGGGGATCAACAGCCACATCAGCACAGTTCCAATGGTGATGGGGGTGGAGGAATCCTCAAAAGGGTAGCCACGGGCAGCAGCAGCAAAGGAAGGTGACCCTGGCGGAGGATCTTCCATAGACGATGGCAGTGCCACTTCAGCTAATCTTGGTTAGCACTGCGCAGAAGAAAGCTATGATAAATCTGACCAACTCTTACCTTGAAAACCCCATGACAAGACAGTCTAAGACAGAAAAGGACACTGTGCTGGAAGATGGAACCTCCAGGTCAGATAGCACTCAAACGTCTCATCTCTCTGGGGAAGAGCTGAGGACAGCTAATACTAGCACTGTTCTTAATGACGCAACTGGACTAAAGCCAAAAAGGACGTTCAGTTGTGGACATGAATGGATGCAAAAGGAAAATTCAAAGCTGTCCAATGCCTATAATAGGAACACAGATCATGAGAAGTATGAATCAAGGTAAGATCAAAACTGTAAAATGAGAAATGGAATGTTTAAACATTGCAGTTCTGGGAGTGAGCAAACTAAAGTATACAACTTTAAGGTTGACAGTGAAGAAACTGAAATTGTTCAAGATTTTCTATTTCTTGGCTCCATCATTAACCAAATGGGAGGCTGCAACCAAGAAATCAGAAGGGGATTGAGACTGGGGAGAGCAGCCATAAGGAGCTAGCAAAGATCCTTAAGTGTAAGGATATGTCACTGGCAAGCAAGATCAAGTTAATTCTTGCCATACTATTCCCCATTACTATGTAATGTGAAAGCTTGACAGTGAAGAAAGTTGATACAAAAAAAGTAGATTCCTTTGAAATGCGGTGTTAGAGTTTTATGGATACCATGGACTGCCAAAAAGACAAATCAGAGGGTTCTAGACCAAACGAAGCCTGAACTCTCCCTAGAAGCTAAAATGACTAAACTGAGGCTATCGTACTTTGGTCATATTATGAGAAGACAAGAGTCCTTGGAAAAGACAATAATGCCAGGAAAAGTTGAAGGCAGCAGAAAAAAGGGAAGACCCAACATGAGATAGATTGAATCAATAAAGGAAGCCATGGCCCTCAGTTTCCATGAATGGCTGTTAACAACAGGACCTTTTGGAGGACATTAATTCATAGGAAAAAATTTAGAGTCCAGTGGCACCTTTAAGACCAACAAAGTTTATCCAAGGTATGAGCTTTCATGCACATGCACACTTTTTCAAATACATTGGACTGGAAGGTAGAGTTCAAACTTAGACAGAGGCTGAACAGCAAATTAACACGTAACATGATGAAGATGAGATCAGGGCCCTGTGGGACCTCACACAGTTCTGCAGGGCCACAAAAATAGAGCTCTTTCACCAGGCATTTAGGTAGGAGCCGTGTTCTCATCTATGCCCGGTGCCAACCCATCTCCAGCCTGAGCCCTCCGATAATGGATGGACCGATAAATGCACTTTATTGTAATGATACCGCCATCGTTTTTGTCAATTGTTTTTAAAAACTTTTGTATTTTATATTTACCTTTATGTATGTTTACCTATTGGTTCTTCTGTAAGCCACCCCGAGCCTGCCTCGGCGCGGAGGGTGGGGTAAAAATCAAATCAAATAAATCAATAAATAAAATAAATATGCAAAGACTAAATAAAAACCTAAGGTTATAAGGTCAAGTTGGACTTATAACCTTAGTTTGTTATTTAGTTTTGTCTTTGCATATCTTAAAACATCTTCATCGTGTTACATATTAATTTGCTGTTTAGCCTCTGTCTATAAGTTTGAACTCTACCTTCCATTCCAATGTATTTGAAAAAGTGAGCATGCACATAAAAGCTCATACCTTGGGACTTCCGGTTGATGGCGGCGCGCTAGCAGACTCGCCTCCCGGGGGTGAAGCTGCGCTCCAGCCGAAGGAGGGGGTGTGCAGGTTCGTCACCCCCCCAGGGACCCAGCTGAAGGGACCCTGGCCATGGAACTTTCGAGAGGTAGCCTCTTCGATGACATAATGCCAGAGAATTGAGGCGCCTCTCCGTTCTGACGGTTCTCCATGCTGCGAGACCGAATGGGCTTAGTGACGCTGACCGGAGCAAGCGCAGGAGATCGAGTGTCAGAAATGGAGTGCAATCGAGGCCAGAAGACCAATGATGAACGTGAGTCAGACTTGAGCGATGATTAAAGGGAAAAGAAAGCTCCCCACCCTATCCCACGGAACAGAAAATCAGGCGAGCGGGAGAGGGACGCCTCCCATGCGCATGAATTTATGAGAGAATGAGGGGGGAGCGGAAGAAAACGCAGTTAAAACTGTCAAGGAGTACTTACCAAGGCAAGTCTGCGCGTTTGAGCGCATATTCAGAGACTTTTAAAAAATTTGCAAAAGTAAACAATCAATAAAGATGGCGGGGAAGAGGACGGAGAAAGAGAAACTTTTGAAATAGAAAGTAGCTGAGAGCCCAAAATCGGAAGTAACCAACGAGCTGGCAAAGACTTTGGCAGAATCCATGCGCCCCCTGATGGACCAGATGAATAACTTCAAAGAGCAGATGACAAAAATGACCCAGTGCATCACCACTCAGCAACGCAGATAAATGAGACTTTGCAAATGATGAATCAGACAGCTGAGAAGGTGAAAGAAGTGGACGCCACTGCACAAAAGGTGAAAAAGAAAGTTCAAAAGCTGGAAAAGAAGCAAGTTTCTACAGAAAATCAGCTGTTACAATTACAAATGGAAAAGGCTAACATGATTCTTCGCTTCCAGGGCATGCCAGAGACTAAGGGAGAGAATCCTAAGGAAAGGATGAGTGAAATATTGGCCCCAGTGACAGATATGAAGGCGGAATTTTTGTTAAGCGAAATGGATGTGGCCTTTAGGTCATATTCAGGATACATAAAGAAAAATAATCTGCCTGGGGAAATTGTAGTAAGATTCTTGGAGAGGCATGTGAGGGATGCAATCCTGAAAGCAGTATCTGGAGCACCCCTGAGAGACGGGGAGAATGCCATCAGAGTACTAAAAGACATTCCATTTGAAATAAGACAAAGGAGAAAGAAATACAAAGAACTAACTCTCTTTCTTCAGACAAACTCAATTGGATACAGATGGCTAATTCCAGAAGACATTACCTTCAAAATTAAGGATAAAAAAGAAAAGATTGACTCTGTTCTGAAAGCACGGGAATTTCCAGGAGTCCAGCTGGGAGGGCCAGTGGAGGAAGAAAAAGAAGGGATGGACAGTAAGTCCAGCAGTGAGCTAGACTCGGGATCTTCCGGAGAGGACTCTCTTTCAGAGAAAGGGGCAGCAGCTCCTAAAAGTCCTTATAAACTGTGGAAGAGACTGGGAAAAGAGAAGGGAAGGCTGAAGGACTCTGAATTGTGCCTTTGAGATTTTGAAATGAGATGCTCTGGGGTATTTCTTAATGACAGTTAAGATTGGGAAAAAAGTCAACAAAAAAAATATTTGACCTAGTTCATAATGAGATTAACGAGATTAAGACTTGATGTATATTTAAGATGATTAGAAGATCTCCTTCCTTGGGTTTTTAGTTATTAGTGAGTATCTTTGCTTTGTCCTTAGATGTAGTCCCCTACCCTTTTTCTGTTGTAGTTTGTAGTGATTATAAAAAATGCAATAAAAAAATCCCCTTCCAGGAGCATAAAAAAAAAGCTCATACCTTGGATAAACTTTGCTGGCTTTAAAGGTGCCACTGGACTCTAAATTTGTTCTACTGCTTCAGACCAACACGGCTAACCACCTGGAACTATTAATTCATAGGGTCGCCATAAGTCAGAAGTGAATTGACAGCACCTCTCTCTCTCTCTCTCTCTCTCTCTCTCTCTCTCTCTCTCTCACACACACACACACACACACACACACACACACAGACAGACAGAGAGCCTCTTACACACACACACACACACACACACACACACAGAGACAGACAGAGAGCATGTTACACATTAATTTGCTGTTCAGCTCCTGGCTACCCATTCGTTGCTGGGCTCAATTTAAGGTATTGGCTATCACATACAAAATGGTTCATAGCATTGGCCTGTCTTACTTGTAGGGCTGCCTCTATGCCTATGCTCCGTCAAGACAACTTTGCACATGCTAGCAAGGGCTTCTGCAGGTGCCAACCTGCAAATGGGCAAAATCAACAACTGCCCATATACGTGTGCTTTCACCATTGTGGCTCCTGCCTTGTGGAATGGCCTGCCAAAGAGGTCAGGAATGCTCCTGCTCTCCTGGCCTTCCACAAATTATTCAAGAGGGCTTTTCTGTGCGGGCAATAGGCTTCCACTGTACAAAGTGGTTCACAAACTTATTTGGATAAATGATTAGGACTGTGGTCTATATTGCTGTGTATAACTTATTGTAGTAGGATCCTATTATGTAATCTCTGTAGCACTTCATGTGTCATGTTAGTACTTCTGCTATGCTTCAGTTCTTTCTGGTGGTTCCAGACTTCTAAAATCATCATGGTTTGGTTACTGAAGGTGTTGGTTATTGAATTGAATATTGAACTGAATACTGAATTGTTGATTGTACTGACTATGTGTAATCCGCCTTGAGTCCCTGTGACTACGTCAGACTATAAATAATGTTAAGAAATGTTTTAAAATAATAAAATAAATATGACCCCCCTACAAGTTGAGGCTCAGGGTAAATAGCCCTCCTGTCCTACATTTTCCTGCAAGTGTTGGAAGGTCTGTCTTTGACTCTTGTAATGGGGTATAGGGAATTCTTAGGATGAGCAAAGTAGTCACTTCTCTGGGCACCCCATTCTACAAGATGAAATCCTTCTCTGCTTTGTGAGTTGTGATAGTGGTAATTCAGTATCTTCACATGTCATAGAGGAAATGGTAAAACCAGACAAATATGCAGATTCTGTGGGGCCTAGGGACCTGCCTTTTCCCAAACAAATGTTTGAAAGATTTGGTATTGTTATGTACTGAGCCTGAAACTTGCCTGGAAACTGACTACGCTTGGGGCACCAGAACAATAGGGACCCAGGATCCTGGAATGGACCTATTGAGTAGGAGTTGTAATGTAGATAGGCTATCAGTGAGAGTGTGTGTGGGATGTTTTGCACGCATATAAGCAAGGCTCCAGCCCTGCTAGAGTTGTCTTAGAGTTAAGCTGAAATCACTAATAAACCATGAGCTGATCACTTTAGGCGTCTCAAACCCAGTATATTTCAGGTATATACATTTCCTTTAGGAGACCATTGCAGAGACTTGAATTAGCAGGAAGACAAATACCAAGGTATCAGTGTGTTCACACCACTGATATGATGATCCCCAATCTTTCTGCATAGGGTGCACAAGGATGGGCAGACCTAGAGCAAGAGGATTTAGGAAAAAAATTTCTACCCACAGACAAGAAGAGGAGGAGGAGGAGGAGATTGGATTTATACCCCACCCTTCACTACCTGAAGAAGTCTCAGAGCGGCTTACAATCTCCTTTCCCTTCCCCTCCCCTCCCCACAACAGAGACCCTGTGAGGTAGGTGGGGCTGAGGGAGCTCTTTTGAGAACTGCTCTTTCCAGAACAGCTCAGAGAGAACTGTGAGTGACCCAAGGTCATGCCAGCAGCTGCATGTGGAGGAGTGAGGAATCAAACTTGGTTCTCCCAGACTAGAGTCCAGGCTCCTAACCATGTAAGATCAAAATTTACCCTTAATACCCTTTGACAATGTTAGTGCTGTCTACATTCAGATCAAAATCCAGAGCAGAATGAAAGTAAAGAAATGATGATGATGACGATGACGTCAACAACTGCCAATAGTTGGCATAAGATCATTCCCATCCGTCTAGGGCATTTTTATTCTACTTTTCCTCCAGGGAGTCCAAGGCAGCATATAGGACTCTCTCTTCCTCTTTTAATCCTCACAACAGTCCTGTGAGGTAGGTTAGGCGCTAAGGGAGAATGACACGGTCAGCCGGTGCGCTTCGTATCATAGGGATACGAACTACGTCTCAGTCCAGAACCATTGCGCCATACATTCCTTCCTGCCCTATCAAGATACCAATGCACTGTAATGTTTTACCATGCTTCAAATGCAAGCCGCCGCAGCGCGAGCCCCTGGCATCGATTGATCTAGTCTGACACGCTTGTGTTTGTGGGCGGCCTATTAAGATGCCATCTTTGTGACGGGCGGTTGAAGCGTCGTTTAAGCGTTGGTAGTTGCTCCTCCTTCCCTCATGGGCGGTGCTGATCGGCGATTGCTTCTGCCTGCAGGTCGCTGGGGGTGTTGAAGATGGCGGAGAGTTTTGGCGGCGGAGGCAGAGTTCCTCGTCCCTCAGGGGACTCGAGTCAGGTTTGGTGCCTCAAGAGGGCGGGTATGAACGAAGAGTGGCTGCTGCTGGAGGCCGGCAGTGAGGTGAGAGGGGGCGGTGGGGGTTGCTTGTCCACCTCAGGGCTTGAGGGAGGGGTAGTAGACTAAGAATGCGCGGGCGACGAGCGAGCGTGGGGCGAGGGGGGAACTTGGCGCCCCCTGGCGTGTGCAAGGCAACTTTCAGGGTTTCTTCCCTGGAGTGGTCCTGGTGAGGGGTTTGGGACATCGGCCTTGGCAATTGCTGTCTTGCTTAAAGGGCTTTTTAGTTTTGCGGGCATTGGCTGTTTAATCTTAATCCTAGCCTCCTGTAACTTTACTGTTGCTGTTTTATGGATTTCTTTTAATATCTTCTGCTGCCATTTTCGGTTATGGCTTTTATTCTGAATATTAACGGAGCTTTCTTACTCTGTTGGAGATTGCGCTTGTTTGTTACTGTTTTGATTTATTTAATTTCGCTTGTATTCTACCTTGCTTCCCAATGGGGGCCTAAAGCAGCGGGCAACGTTTTCCTCTCCTCTCTTTGGGTTAGGCTGAGAGCATGTCGGTAGCCTGAGCTTCCATGGAATGGCAGAGTGGGGATCTGAACCTGGGTCTCTCTGATCCTAGACTGATCCTAACACCTACACCACCCTAACAGACTGTTTTAACAGTCTAAGGCTGTGTGAAATGTTTCCAATAGAGCAGAAGTTAATAATGTACATTATGGCTATTGACAATTTGACCTATATGTTTTCCAGGTAAACTGTGGTCTGATGCATTGGTAGAAATGACTGCCTCTTAGTTGTGTTTTTCTTGTAAATAAATACACGTGTGTGTGTGTGCAAACACATGTATATAAGAGTGCAAAGCTAAGCAGAAGTGAATTAGGATTGGACTAACAACTCTAGCACTGTTCTACTAGAGGTTTTTGAAGATGTTCTGGGCTGAATTGATAGATTGGATGATGCAATAGTATAAACTGTTGAGCTCAGTATACTTGTTTTTGCTTTCTGCTTGGATGGCAAAAGCAAGAGGATTATCAAGCATATGACATATTGCAGTACATGGTGGCAATGGATGTGATGAATTACAATTAATGAAGGCTGGATTAAGTCTGATCATATTTCTGGAAACAAACATTTAAGACACCATTACAAACAATGTGTCAAAAGTTTTTTCAGAGGCTTATATATAGTTTTGGGGAGAACAAGATGAAGAACATTGAAGTCACAGGGAAGTTGGGAAAAGTTTATGACTTGGAAGCTGCGACTGTTCCTTAGAACATCATATACATCAAGGTGTCAAACATGTGGCCCAGGGGCCGGATCAGGCCCCTGGAGGGCTTCTATCAGGCCCGCAGTGGAACTGGCTGTCTTCTGCTTCTTCTTCCAGTTCTGCTGCTGCTGCGTCATCATAGGTTTGCAGCTTACAGATACACACCTGAACAGCATACTCTTGCACATGCATCGGGATGACACAGCTTGAAAGGACCTTGAGGATCCTGGCCTCATTTTAGATGTCAACTGCAGTGTTTGGAAAGTTTGAGAAAGAAGAAATGTAACAAGCCATGGGACCTGAAGAGGGTGCAGTGAAAAAGAGTTGGGCACTACAGTTCACGTATTAATATCCCATGTTGATGTAGATTGAATTGTTATAGAAAACATGAATGAATGTCAAAGTAACTGACAAACTTCCAGTCAAATTAATTTGCATTCTGGAGAATAACAATGGCTTTCTCTTATACTTACTTGCTGTTATACTCACTTATACTCACACCTGAGAGGAGTGAATGGAGAGTCTCAGTCTTATTTTGACATATTTATTGCTTTACAGCTGTTGCCCTTATAACCTTAGCTTGTTATTTAGTTTTGTCTTCGCATAGCTTAAAACATCTTCATCATGTTACATGTTAATTTGCTGTTCAGCCCCTGTCTATAAGTTTGAACCTTACCTCCATTTCAGTGTATTTGAAAAAGTGTGCATGTACACAAAAGCTCATACCTCAAATAAAACTTTGTTGGTCTTAAAGGTGCTACCGAACTCTAAATTAGTTTTACTTGCTGTTAGTTTTACTTGTATCCGTGCAGATGCCTACCTAGGATTTGTCTATTATTCATCATAGGCCTCTTTACAAACAGACGTGTTTCCCCCTCACTTGCAAAATCAGCGTTTGTTGGAAAGTTTTCTATTATGTTTCAACTATCAGGTTAAAAACCTGCACTTCAAGTGAAATACTGTTCCTAGAGGAATGTTTGTGTGTTGTATTACTGTATTTCTGTGAATTACGGTAAGAAAGTAATTAATTCAGAGAGTGAATTTATTAAGAATTTTTATTTTTATGTTCAGGTTACTATAGGTCGAGGAGCTGGTGTCACCTATCAATTGATGTCAAAATCCTGTCCGTTGATGATCTCACGGAACCATTGTGTGTTCAAGCAGAATGCTGATGGACAGTGGACAGTGACAGATAATAAGGTACAGAAAATTGTTGAAACTGGTTATGAATAGAAAGATACTGAATGTGGAATCCAATTTAAAAGCATGGGGTTAGTTACAGACTAAACTGCGATGTACACAGAATTTCCCCTTTCTGCTGCAGACTCCCCTTCCCAGTAGTTCCTCAGAGTCCCCTGTACCCCAGGAGCAGCAATTGTGGGGGTCAGTGGGCTGCAGTGGGAGGGGGGAGTCAGGAAAGTTTTGTTCCACTGAATGAAAATACATTCTAGATTTGAGCATGATCTGGAGAGCTGGAAGAGCAGGCTAACTATAGAAACATGCTAATTTTGAATGTGATCAGTTATGTCTGACCGAGCAAACTTTCTGTCTGAAAACGAGAACCCCTGAGGATATTATTACCCTGATCACTTATCTCAAACCAAAAAAAGCCCCTGGCCCTGATGCAGTCTCCCCAGAACTACTGACGTCTCACCCAGAATGGTGGGCGCCTCCTTTGGCTGCTTTATTTTCCTTAATAAATAACACTGGAATAATGCCAAAGTCATGGACAAACGCAACCATTGTCCCTCAAAGTCATGGACAAACGCAACCATGATCCTTCTTCTCCCAAAAATTATAGACCAATCAGCCTTTTATCAGTAGTTGGCAAACTTTATGCCAAACACCTTCTAATTAAACTAGATTGATGGATGACTGACCATAACATTCTAGGGCCAGAACAAATAGGGTTTCATCGGGGAAAATCCACTCTGGACCACTGTGCAGTACTATCACACCTTGTTACTAAATACAGTGGGAAACCAGGCAATAAGCTTTTCGCTGCCTTTTTAGACCTTAAGGCGGCGTTTGATTCAGTCTCAAGAGACTTCTTATGGGACAAGATGGTTAGAATGAATATAGATCCCAGACTGCTTTTTTTTTTAAATAAAAAAACTATATACACATACAGTTGTCAGGTTAAATCTACAGGGAAATCTAACCCCCCAAATCCCTATTCACAAAGGTGTAAAACAGGGTTGCATCCTTGCCCCTTCACTTTTTAATTTGTTTCTAAACAACCTGGCTCCATCATTGTTCGAAATTGATGGACATGTTCCCAAAATTGGCCAACGCCATATCCCAGTTCTTTTATATGCAGATGACACCATTTTACTCTCAGGTTCTCGAATCGGACTGAGGCGTCTTTTACATCAATACTTGACCTACTGTAACAACAACAGGTTAACTTTGAATTATGGGAAAACAAAGATCCTAGTTTTTTCCAAATCCTGGAAACAGTTCACATGGACAATCCAGGGAAATCCCATTGATCAGGTCAAATCATTTATATACTTGGGGATCAATTTCTACTACAATGGGAGAGGGGTTACTCACCACAAATGTGCTACTACTCTAGCAAGAAACAGTGCTGAGGTTATCGCCCGCTTTTTCTACTTGAGAGGCAATAGATATGTCCCAATGGCCTTAAAAGCCTTCCATACAAAATCTAGTTCACAATTTCTATATGGCGCTCCCATTTGGATAAGTGCAATTATCCAATCAGCAGAGAGTTTACAATCCTTTTTTTTTGCGGAAAATCCTTGGACTCCCTAATTGTGGATCTGCGATCTGTCTTGAAACCAGCCAGATGCTGCTGGAAACTCGAGCCTGACTTCTGACCATCAAATTCTGGCTGCACCGTCTGTTTAATCCTGACCCAAATTCCTTTACCTTTTTAATGCTGACAGATCATTATGAACCTAATTGGCTGAAATTAGTCCAAAAAAAAAATTAGGTCCTTAGGAATACATCTAGATCTGCTTTACTTATCATCTGCCTCTACAATATTTTATACAATTAAACACAGGCTTCTAGATACTCAATTTCAGCGCCTGACTGAGGCAGCCAGGAAAACCTGTTCCCCAGTTCATCTGGGATTATCCCAGACACTGGGCCAGACAGCTACTTATTTTTGTTCTCTAACTGATCACCATCAAAGAAGGGCATTTATGTTAGCCAGATTTAACATATAGCCATTGACCATCTTCTCTGGAAGAAGCCAAAAAATCCCCTATGAACTTAGGCAATGCCCCTGCGGTCAGGATGGTATCGAATTCATTTCCCATGTTCTTTTAAATTGTCCATTTTATACTAAGATTCGAGGTAAATTTGTGGACACCCTTCTATTTACATGGCGTGGTCTTCCTGAGAGTATCAAGGTCCAGTTGCTACTATCTGGGCAAAACGCTTCTATAACTTTTAATGTTGCTTGTTTTCTTCAATCTGTAATTCAAACCAGGGAAACTATTAATTGATCAGTTCTTTTTTGTTGGCTGTTCGACAACCATACCTTTGATGTATTCCTAAATTTTAATGTTATCTTATCTCTTACATGCCAATAAAGGTTGTCTGTCTGAAAATGAGAACTACCTCCAGAAAATAGAATTATTTTCTTTAATAGAACCCTTGAGTTTCATTGAGAGAACTGCTGAGGATGAAAGAGCATTTGGTCTTTCCTTTGTGCAGGTGAGAGCTGCATACATTGAAGCGATCTCATTTATCCACGCACTAAACATGTGGGGTTGGTTAAGTGAGACCTACTTGTTGGTATGGGTCTTCGGGCTTAGTAAGGATTAGAACTCAGCTCTTCCTTGTTCTGAGTCCAACATTATTCACCTAATTAAACTGGCATAAGAAGATCCCAGCCGGAACAGAGCAGTTGTCCATCTAGTCTAGCATCCTTTCTCACATTGTGGCCAACTAGTTCTCCTGGAGGGCCAGGAACAGAGCATGGAGACTGAGTCCTCCTGATGTTGCTTCCTTGCACTGGTGTTCAGAGGCTTTTTGCCTCTGAATGTAGGAGGTTCCCTTCAATCACCATTGCTAGTAGCCATTAATAGACCTATTCTCCATGAGTCTGTCTAATCGCCTTTTAAATCTGTCTGTTCCTGTGGCCATCACTATGTCCTCTGGAAGTGAATTCCACTTTTTAATCACTCCTTGAGTAAAGAAGTATTTCTTTTTTTGTCTCTCCTGAATCTAGGTAAAGGTAAAGGTTCCCTTGCTCGAAAGCCAGTCGAGTCCGACTCTAGGGTTGCGGTGCTCATCTCCGTTTCAAAGCCAAAGCGCCAGCGCTGTCCGAAGACATTTCCATGGTCATGTGGCCGGCATGACTAAACACCAAGGTGCACGGAACGCTGTTACCTTCCCACCAAAGTGGTACCTATTTATCTACTTGCAATTTCTTGCTTTCGAACTGCTAGGTTGGCAGGAGCTGGAACTAGAGACGGGAGCTCACCCCGTCTTGCGGCACCCGGGTCTTGAACTGCTGAACTACTGACCTTCCACAGCCTACAGTTCAGCGTCTTAACCACTTGAGCCACCGCAGCTCCACCTCCTTAATCTAGTGCCCATCAAATTCATTGGATGCCTGAGTTCTAGTATTTTGGGAAAGGGAAAAAAGTTCTCTCTGTTCAGTCTCCTTGTGTGTAAAGTGCTATCAAGTCACTCCCGACTTATGGCAACCCTATGAATTAATGACCTTCAAATTGTCTGGTTTGCTTTGCTCTTCTCAGGTCTTACAAACGGAGGGCTGTGGCTTCCTTTATGGAGTCAATCCATCTCATTTTGGGTCTTCCTCTTTTCCTGTTGCCTTCAACTTTTCCTAGCGTTATTGTCTTTTCTAGTGAGTCTTGTCTTCTTATATTGTGAGCAAAATATGATCGCCTTGGTTGGGTCATTTTAGCTTTTAGGGTTGAGATGTAATCTAGAACCAGTCTCTCTACCCCATGTGTAATTTTATAAATCTCTGTCATGTCCCCCTTCAGTCTTCTCTTTTCTCAACTGGAAAAGTCACAGACTCTTCAGCCTTTCCTCATAGGAAAGGTGTTCCAATCCCTTTGCCCTCTCCTGTACTTTTTCCAGTTCTGTAGTGTCCTTTTTGAGATGGCCAGAACTGGACACAGTATTCCAAATGAGGCCTCAGCATAGATATGTACAGGGGCATTATGAAGTTGGCTGTCTTATTTTCAGTCCCTTTCCTACCAATCCCCACTGCAGAGTTTGCCTTTTTCACTATTGCATCACACTGGTTTGCATTTTTAATTGAGCTATGCACTATGACCCTAAGGTCTTTTAGACTCAGCAAATTCAGACCACTAGCATGTACTTAACACTGGGATTTTTTGTTCCAGTGTGCATCATCTTCCACTTACTGGTACTGAACTTCATTTGCTACATTGTTGCATTACCCAATTTGTAGAAACTCTTCTGGAGCTCTTCACAGTTGGCCTTGGTTTTCATTGTCCTGAATAATTTTGTGTTATTTGCAAACTTGGCTACTACACTGGTCACCCCCAATTCCAGATCTTTTATGACGAAATTAAATAATACAGGCTCCGATACTGATCCTTTTGAGGCCCCACTGATTGCTTCCCTCCATTAAGAAAACGGTCCATTTTCTGTCCATGTGGTATTCTCATATTGATTGGGAAAGTATTTTATATAAAGTAGGAGGAATCATTCTGATTTTCACATAAATAATACATGCTGACTTGTTTTTGAGAATTTTATTAACCGAGAATTGTATTTAATGGAAACCTTTGATATATGTCTGTGTTTTAACGTAGCTGATAAGAGGGGCAGCATAACAAGTGTCAATATAAGATATGGATTAGATTCTAAATCAGGTGTCTTCCTTTGACAGTATATATATTTGCAAATACCTGTGGACTTGTTAATCCAAAACTAAAGGAGAGTTTATAATAGTTTGCTTAGCTTTTTTTCTAGGAAGTTTTTCACATAAATGTATATAGAGGCCTGTCTGCTCATTCTTGTAGCAGTACCATTTTGTTTTTGATCGCAAATATAAAAGGAAATATCCATAAAGGTATTAAGAATTCAATTTTCCATTCTAGAACTACTTGCTGCAATGGGTGATATTAAAAGTCCAGCCACTGGGGCTGGGGGGCCCTTTAAGCATGCTACAGACTGTTTGGCCAGTGAGATACCTATTTGTTTGGTGGTGGAAAGTGCCATCAAGTCACAGCCAACTTACGAGAACCCTATAGGGTTTTCAAGGCAAGAGATGAAGAGAGGTGGTTTGCTATTACCTGGCTATGCATAATGACCCTGGACTTCCTTGGTGGTCCCCCATCCAAGTACTAACCGGGGCTGACCCTGCTTAATTTCCAATATCTGACGAAATTAGGTTAACCTGAGCCGTCCAGGTCAGGGTCTCCTTAGTGCAGGTGAAATGTAGGATGGTCAGTATTTTTTGAGAAAGGGAGAATTTTGCCAGGTGTTCGATAACATCAATATAAATAGACATTTGCTGCTCTCTCACAATTGCCACTGTAGGTGACTCTCTGTGGGCTTATGGTACAGTCAGTTATGGCAGTAATCTGACAGTCAACCAATCAGCAGTGGAAGTAAGTTGTGGAGAAATTATGAGTTTCAGGTATATGGGTAGCTAGCCCACTGCTTATGTTTGATTTTGATTTGCCTGGGTGAGTGGCAGATTAAAATGCTGTTCTGCTGCTAGTTTGATATTTTGTTACGTACATTGCTTTCTGTAATTACGGTACTTGCCACGCAGTGTTTATGTTCTTAAATTTGTGTCCTGTCTTTCTACTATCCTACAAATTGAGGTGATATATGTGAGCTTCCCAAGAGGTCTCCCATCTAGGCCCAGGCCAGACACAGGCCTACTTAGTTTCAGCAAGGCAGCTGTATTGTGTACCTTTTAGCCACATTGTTTCCCTTTACTTTGTATGTATTTTCTGGATATCACTTATCAAATTCTACAGTGTGGCCAAATCTGTGGATACATAAATCCCAGGATTGGAGCCACAGACAAGACAGGTCCTTCTATAAACCTGAGCAACGTCCCAGGTACACTGGAGGGGTTAACCCCCCCAATAACAGAAGTAGTGCCTATAGCTTTAAGAAATGAATGCCAGTGGCTGTTGCTAGGCAACCACAACAGTCTTGCCTTGTTTTCCAGCCTTGGCTTCTGTCAATAAAGGCTGGGGAAAGGACAGTGCCATTTTCAGGGCTGGTTTGGCCTTTGAGGGAGAAATTGGGGCCAGGCCTGGCAGCAGCCACTGGTTGAGTTGCTGCCACAGCAGCTACCCTACAAAAGCCAGTGTGAGGCAGTGGTTAGAGTTTTTGACTACGATCTGGTTGACCCAGGTTCAAATCCTCATTCTGCCATGGGAGGTGACCTTGGGCCAGTCACACACACTCATCCTTACATTCTTTGGGTTCCCATGGTGGAAAAAGGTTGGGGTATAAATGAAATAAATAATTATAGCTGAAGATGTGGAGGGCAGATAAAAATTAGGTTTGCTTGTGGGTGGGAAGGCGAGAAGAAATCAGGGAAAGGTGAGGCTATGGAAGTTGCCAGGAGGAGGAAAAGAGGAAATAGTCTGGAGCGGGATACAGAGGAAAGTGAGGTGCTCATCCTTGCAAGTCCATGTGTGTTCCGCACCACGCTACTGAGCCTGTCTCAGTTGCTGGCACTGTGTTACTGGTCCATCCCAGCAGCCAGCACCATTTGGAATTTTCCCAGGGAGAGGCTGCTGAGGAAGGAAAGAGGGAAATCTGAAGGGGGGGGCAATAAAGGTAGGTTGGATGGTGGTTGGGAAGGAGAGAAGGAAGCAGGAAAAGGGGGAGGTGTGGGGCCTTAAAGGGAAGGGACAGAGGAAATAGTGGGGTAGGGGGAAATGAGATGCTTCCCCAAGGCCCATAGCTGAAGCAGCTAAATTTCATTAAACAATGATTTTGAAAGTTTTGCTTTTGTTCCTGATGTTTCCTCCTTGGCCCAAGCTTACTTCCCAAGGGGAACTCGGTTCTGTAGTAAGAGTCCAGTAGCACCTTAAAGACTAACTAAATTTGTGGCAGGGCATGAACTTTTCTGAGTCGCTGCTCACTTCTTCAGTTATGTGGATATCTGAAGAAGTGAGTGGTGACTCATAAAAGCTCATACCCTGCCACAAATTTAGTTAGTCTTTAAGGTGCTATCGGACTCCTGCTCTTTTCTGCTGCTACAGACAAAACATGGCTACCCATCTTGATCTGTCCCTTCTGTAGTGTTTACTGTAGCTCTATAAGGATAAGATTACGACATACATTTGGATAACAGATAATGTTGTGTGTATTTAATTCTTTCTCCACTTGTCTTTGATTGCTGTACATGTATATAATTCCATTGATATCATGATATTCAGCACGCCCAAGTATAAGATTTGATTTGATTTGACAGGTATTTGTATTGCTATGTTTTCTCCCTCTCTCTCTCTCCTTCTATCTCCCTCTCTCTCTCTTTCTCAAAAAAGCAGTTTTTATTTTCATATTCTCAAGTAGCCAGTAATAATATTATTTAGCTTTCTGGACAAAATACTTCATCAGCCTGGAGTGCATATGACAGTGTGATTTAAAGACTTCCCTAATGGCTTCTTCAGCTATTTTCTATTCTGCTTGTAAAGCAGAGAATAACAGCTCATCCTCATATCTTATTTCCAGGCACGTTAAGCCTGCTGATGACGTTCCAGAATACCGAGTGGATCACTGCACTTACAGTTTTGATATTATTTAAGGAATTCCAGCTTGTGTTGTGTTTTTTCCTCTGAAAGTATTTTATTTTTGCAAAAAAATAAATTATTAGTGTAGTTTTCTTCAAAACAAAACAAACCTCCTTTTCCCCCTCCTCTTTCCCCAGAGTCTAAATGGTGTCTGGATAAATTTTGAACGCATCGCTCCATCAAAGGCCTGTCTTTTACAAGAAGGTGACTTCATTCAGTTAGGAGTGCCTTTAAAACACAGAGAAACACCTGAATATGAATATACGTTAATGAAGGATGAATGGAAGAAAGTTAGTCCCTTTTTAGCATCGAAAGATGACCAGCTGACTGAAAAAATGAAGGACATTAGGGCTAAGCGTAAAAGTAGCTTGGAGGATTTAGACCCCTCTGGTGTGGAAGGACCTTCCAATTCCAGGTCTAAGAGAGACAGACTGTCTTCTGATGTTGATTCTTTAGGGAGATCTGAGGCAGTTAGTACAGAACTGTCCAAACAACCAAGAGAAAATCTGGATGTAGTGCTACTTCCTCCAAGACCAAGCAAGAAAGAGAAGAAGAAAAATCACTGTAGCTATGTCCAAGTTGGGAATGCTGTATCTTACATTTCTAAGGATCAGAAAGCTCCCAGTTTGGCACAGTCTTGGAGTGGTTTGGAAGAAATAATGAAAACACTGGCGGAAATGACAAAATTGAAAGCCAAGATGCAGGAGAAGCAGACAGCTGTCTTGAATGTGAGACAGAAGAATAAGAAGTGCACTCAAAAAGACATCCAAGTTTTAGAGCAGGAGTTGCAAGACTTGCAGGAACAGCTATGCACTGAGCAGGAGCAACAGCAGCAGAGAGTGGAGCAGTTGGAAAAGACTTTCTGTGAGGAGCTAGAGGTAAGTGCTGCCAAGAACTGTACTGTTTGAAAATGAGCTTTAAAGACAGGCATAAGCCAAAAAGAATGAGAAAGAAGGTGGCCTCTTTTTCGTGGACAGAGACTCATATCACTACTGGATTCGAATCCAGTAGCACCTTAGATTTTCAGAGTATAAGCTTTCAAGAGTCAAAGCTCCCTTCATCAGACACAAGTAGGAATGGAGATTTCTGAGTCCTTATATCCCAGTCAGAAGGTGGGAGGGTTGTTGCAAGGAAGGGAGTTGGGATGCAAAGGTACAATACAAAATGTAATCAGCTTGATTGGAACAGGGAGAAATGTTTAGGAGCAGAAAAGTAGTGTGTGTAGTGAGATTAGAATCCTGTGTCCCTATGCAGAACCCCCCTGGGGGGGTCCATTGTAAATGAACTCAAATTCAGCATTCACATGTTGTAATGTCCCCTTGAAGCTTCTCTGTTTGAGGACTGCCATTTTTTATCTCAGCAGTAGAATGACTAAACTTGTTACCTGTAAATATAAGATAATTCCTAGACTAACTGGACCTTATACAGATTGTGTCAATAGAAGGAAAACAATTCTGAATTTGTGTACGTATTATGCTGTGGTTAATTTAATAATCTTGTCTGGTTTGCCCTTTTAGTTTGTTTGCGAGCAGCTACATGATTATACATATGCTCAAATACCATATAATATATAGAGTTGCTTGTTAAGGAAACTTATTTCATAAGCTGTGAAGAAATTTGGGCCAGTCTGTTTATATCTCCAAAACAGATACCTCCAGGGCAGGGAATGATTTGTAGAGAAGACCATCAGGTTCAGTACTGTTCAGAGCAGACAGTGCTGGGCTGGCTGGACCAGTGGTCTGACTTGGTATAAGGCAGCTTTATATCTTCAAGGGTGCAATCGCATACACAGATACTTTGGAATAAGCCCCATTAAACTCAGAAACGCTTACAGCTGAGTAAATATCATAAGACCAGAATGAATATCACTGAAACCCCCTGGCCACTAGGGTTGAAAAATTTATAGTAGAAATCAGTGCCAAATCTGATTTCCATTTGAAAAATAATTCTCTATTTTTAGCTGCTAGATAACATAAAGACATATGTTAAAAGGGTGCTTTCTATGGTGGTTCTGTGCTTACTGTCTCCCATTTTTCTTTCCTCCTGCTCCTCCTGTCTTAGAAGATATCAGGACAGAAAAGGAAGCAGAAAGAGAGGCTGTATTGGGGTGAAAATGAAAGAAAAATTGGCTATAGGACTAGAGGAAAAAAGCTTAGTGTAGCAAATTCCTTTCCTTTAAAAGGTACTCATCAGGAAGAAAAATTTCCTTGCCACTGATGACCTGGTATATGCTTTTGTGGAACACTGATTATTTCCTCATTGATTTTCATGATAAAATACTTCATTTCCTTAGTATTTCCACAGCCATTTCATGGGGGATTGCAAAGCTACTATTCATTTTTCTTTGTTCTCATATCCCAGTCACTTAACCTTGACATGATCTTGGGATGTGGCTTCCATTTTCTTTGGCTAGCATAATGTGAGCCTCTATCTGGGGTACACTAGAATCCATCAGGTACACATAGGTAGAAACCTGGGGGGGGGGGAACTGGAAAAATTCAGAAATCCCACCTGTTCTCCCCCCCCCTTTCCCTCAGGCCTCTCCCCCATCTTTCTGATGGAAGAATTGGAAATTTTGGGGAGTACTGAAAAACACTCCTATTAAATATTTTCTCTTCTAGAATGAGTGAAATGCTTTCAAAGACAAGGTGGGCATGCTGTAGGCATATACAGCTCTTAAATCCAAGATGCATTTCTGTACCTAGACGGATGCCAGCTTTTCATGAGGGGAGCATGCAGGGCTTTCATTGCTTCTTAATATGCCTTCTGTTGTCCTTTTGACCTGATGTGGCTGACCTTTTCATATCTCCCTCAAACCACTGTGACACATTAACCCACAGACTGGGTAGAAAGTAGCTTATTGCCCTACTTTGCAGGAGCTAGAAAAAAGATCAGAAGGAGGTGAGACAGAAACTACACCAAAGCCTCAGAGGAAAACTGAAAGTTTCATTGAAAACTGGGCTGTCTCTAACCAGATAACAAAAATTAAAAATTAAGGTACATGTATACATGCGCTAAGATAGTATAGGATGCATTAGCTTACAGTTTTCTCTCAAGTACTGGGCATATTGGTAATTTTGCTTGTACAAAACTAAGGTGTTTATAACTTTGATATGTTAAGTAATGCATTTTATGTTGTTAAAGCGATAAAATTAGATTTGATAGAACAGTAAGTATAGCATAAATTTCAGTTTTTCCGAAAATCCTGCCCTCTTTCCCCCCAAAATATTTTTTCCCCATAGCTTCAAAATTTCTGGACATTTTACATGTCTATGCATAGGTGCAGAAGATTACAAGAAGTGTTGCCTCAGTCATGGCAGAAGGATTCAAATGCTGTTTTCCTAGCCCACTTGCTTTCAGTGCCAGTCTGCCTGTCGTCTTGGTTCATCTTCAGCAGTTTATTTTTCCAGCAGGTTTCTGATCCCTGGCGCTGTGCCTCAACCTCACCTCCATCCATCCTGCAGGCTCCTAAACTGACAAGCCACAGTCCAAGCCCAGCAGCTGCTTATATACCTTTTAGATTGTCTCAGCTGTCTTTTGACTGGGTTTTGTGAAGCTATGGTCCTGGGTCAGTTTTAACCCTTTTTGCCTGCTGAAGCATTCACCTCTTTGTGTGCTGCCTTTGGACTCTCCTTCACAGTTGACTGAAGTTCTTCTGTGAGCCATTGCAGTGTTTTCTCCATTATTCTGTTACTGCCAGCAGTGTGCTGTGCCTCCCCAACAGATGAAAAGTTCAGGGTAACATTACAGAATTTAGTTCCTGTGTTTGAGAGAGAATTGTAGGCTTTGCAATATTCGTTTTGTTTAAATATCTAAACCAAATGTATTGGAAGTAAATAGAAAACTCCTGCAGCAGGCATTAAATCCATAATCCTGCATCAGAGTCCAAAAAAAGAGCTTGTACTCCCCTAGGTGCTTCTCCTTCAGCTAACTCACAGCTCTCAGTCTCCCCCTGCCTCTTAGTTCAGACTGACTCCAAACTATTTCTTTGTCACTCCCAGACAATAATGGATGCTACATTTCAAAGTATAGTATTAGCAACCTTTAGTTGTTAAATCCTGGGTACCTGCTGGGCATTTCTTTAGGCAAAACAATAGTAGTAGGCCCTGATAACAGTAGCTTCAAATTCAAAAGGAAAAAAAATCAGGCAAATCATAGTTCAGAACTGCTTGTCTGCTTTTGCATTTTTAATTGGTCAGTGCTCTTGTCTTTTGGTGCAGTGGCTTCTAAAGGCTGAGCCATGGCCATATGTGATCTGCTTCATGGGTGCCCCCAGTTCTGGCCCCACAGAGTATGGATTCATGTTGCCACACCCCTCCCAGTGAGGGCTTGATGCCCACTAAATGCCCTGGGGCAGGGGGTACCTGCTCCTTACTTCTCCCTGCCTAAGCTCTCCCTGTGGGTAACCTACAGGGACAAGGCCACAAGAGTTGGGAGGAGAAGGGGCGATGCTTTTAAGTGGGTGGTGTGGGCATCTGGTCCCTCTAAAAAGACACCGAAGGATGCAGTTCGTGCTGAATGGGAAAGTGCATGGTGGATTGAGGTTTGGGGGTGGGGGTTGTATGATGACAGTGGAGGGAAGGCAAGAAGCAGGTAGATATGGACAACTGCTTGCAGGAAAGCCTTAGTAGCAAGTGCTAGCATACCTGAGTACAGAGGCATCACAGAGGCATCCTGTGCCTCTCTGGAATTTGGATTCCAGGATCCCATATAGCGGAGGGCTTTGCTAGCTCTGAGGGGAAGTGGAGTTGAGCAGAGCAGCTTTTCGGGTCATGTCAATCCTCTCCTTCCATCAGGATGCCACTATCTCTCCTGCTACCCTTTCAAAATGTGGGTATATCAGGTGCTGTAATCATCAAGAGCGGGTAAGGCAAGAAGAGAAGAGTGCAAGAAGAGTCAGAAGCAGCAGCTTTCACTTCATCCTGTACTCTGCCAGCAGAATAATTTGATGTTCTTCCCTCTGTACAGCTGCCCAGTACTTGCATTTTTACTAAGACAACTGTGACTGGTCCAAGGTCACCCAGCAGGCTTTATGTGGGGGAGGGGGGGGATCAAACCCAGTTTTCCAGATTAGAGTTTGCCACTCTTAACCACTACACCATCCTGGCTCTTTGACACGGTACTTAACAAAACAGATTATATTATAAACTGGCCTTCTGTAAAGATTGTTTTATATAAGAACCTAATAAATATCACTTTTGTTTAAGGAAGCCCCCTATAACTAGAAGTTATTGGTTCCAGCAGGCATTACAATTACTTTTGGCAGAGAGTATCTCTTTTACTGAGCAAGAAGAAAGCCAATGGGGTGTTTCACAGTTATTGCTGCAGATGATGATGATTTTGCTAGAAAGGAACAAATACTTAGTCGCTTTGGCTTCTTCTAACACCCTGCATGTTCTTAGTTCTTTTTGTATTTGACTGACAGCCTCCTTCTTGTCATTTAGGGAGCAAAGGAGGAACAAGGGGAAGAGAAACTGAAAGAACAACTGGCCCAGGTCCTGGCGCAGGTAACATAGTACAGTGCTAGGTAATTCCCATATTTCTGATTGGCTCAAGAGTGCAGTCCAAAATGTCCACATAATGAGGCCATGTATGGAAAGGGGAGATATTCTTACAAAGCTGCAGAAAAATATCAGGGTTTCATCCCTTTGAAGCTGACTGCTGTCTTTCCACCTGTCTTATTCTTCATTTGAAACAATTAAGATTTATTTAATAACATATTCCTTCAAACTGGTAGATTGCTGTGTGTCATCAGAAACAGTCACCTTTGCTGAACATTTGTCCACAATGCTAGGCTAGATGGACCAGTGGTGTGACTTGACAAAGGCAGCTTCACATGAATGATGGCTCCCATATCAGACTCATAAGTGACATATTGGGCCAGGAGCAGACACAAAACAAAAGGGGATAAGAATGAAGATAGAGCTGCTGAGGGTACCTGAATGGGAAAATTAGTAATAAGCATCAATGAAAGCATGCCTGCCAGCTGGTACCAATCTTTTACTGCATGTATGGTGTGTTCCAGTGCAGAATCTCCACTCACTTGGGCCTAACTGAAGAAAAGATGAGAGAATTTCAGAGGGTGTTGTGTTGGTCTGAATTAGAACAGCTAGAGACCAACAAGATTTTTGGGGTATTAAGATTCCAAGAGTCAGAGCTCTCTTCATCATATATGAGTCGGAATGGAGGTCTGGGTCCTTCCTTATATCACAGTCAGAAAGTAGGAGGGGTACTGCAAAGGAGAAACTCAGGATGCAGAGGTTCATTGCATGTCGTAATCAGATTGATCAAAGTAGAGGAGAAATTCTTAAGAGCAGAAAATTAGTGTCTGTAATGAGATTAAAATCCTATGTCCCTGTTCAGCCCTTGGGGCATCCATTGTTCTGAATTTGTGAACAAACTCATGTTCAGCAATTTCACACTGTAATCTCCCCTTGTCATATCAAGAGGACTGCCACTCTTAGGTCAGCAATGGAAAGACCTGGGAGATTATTCTCCCACTGTTCTTTTTTTTTAGTGTTGTGGTTTTTAATGTCAGATTTATTTTGCATAGCAACTGACCTGTTTGTCCACTGTAGAAAGTGGAAGCACATTGTGACATTTGATGGCATGCATGACATTGGAAGATGAACAAATGAATGAACCTGAGATGGTATGGCTGGTGTTGTTAGGTCCAGTAATTGTGTTGTCAGAGTGAATATGGGAACAGAGTTGGCATCTTGGTTTGTTGCAATCTCTGGTCCCAGAGTCTGTGTCTCTGTGTTAGGTAGAACATTGTTGTAGGTGAGAAGTTGTTTAAGATCAGGAGGCTGTCTGTGTACAAGAAAAAGTTTGCCTCACAATGCAAACTATCATTGTCCAGCATAGATTGTAGGTCATAGTGATGTGTTGAACTGGTTTGAGTTGAGAGCTGTGTGTGTAGTTCTGTTATTGTTTTGTTTGGGCCTGTCTTGTAGCAGGTTATCTCTTGGTATCACTCTGGCTTTGCTGATCTGTTTCCTTACTAAATCTGATGGGTGTTGTAATTCTAAAAACGTCTGCTATAGATCCTGCAGGTGAGAATCAGTCAGAAGGGTCAGAACAGACAAGGCTGTAGTGTAGAGACTGGCTGTAGACAATGGATCGCTTGGTGGGTTCAGGATGGTGATTGGAGGCATGTAGATAGGCTTGGTGATCAGTAGATTTCCGGTATAAGGTGGTTTTTATGCTTCCATTATGTATTTGTAAAGTGGTGTCTAGAAAGTGTATTTCTTGCATGGATTGGTTCATGCTCAAGTTGACAGTGGGCTGAAGTTGCTGAAGGCCCGGTGAAATTTCTCCATTGCTGCTTTCCCATGTGTCCAAATGATGAAAATATCATAAATAAATAAATCTCAGCTACAAGAGGGGTGTTAACGGATGAGAGTTGAGCAAGCAGTGCTCCAGGTTAGATGGTAGGAATGTACTCCATTGGAATGTGTAATGTTGATATTTATGTATGAAAAGTATTCTCTGCGCATAGAAAGCTAACATGCGAGGGAGAACTCTTTTTCCAAACATCTGTGTGGGGAATTTTTTCATGTGGAGGAATGTTCGATCACATGTTTAATCTACAATCTGAATATTTATTTTAATGGTGTCCTTAAGAATTAAAACTAAGCTGTTAAACATTCTACATCGATCTGAATGTTGACTAATAACAGATGTCTTTGGTGGGGGATTTGGTTTACACTCTAAATCTAGAAAATAGGAAGCTACTAGTGGCCCAAAGGGCCTGTTCATCACCACTCCCAGCTAGAGTTCCTTTGGAAGATAATATGGCAGGTCTTTCCTCTGTACTTGTCTGAGGGCCATAGTATCTTTACATTTTTTTGCTATAAAAACACTGACATCTGTGTACCTGGGGTACATTTATTTAGAGAGATTTATTAGTGAGTTGACAGACTGGGGGGGGGGGTTGGTGTTCAGTAGAATGCCCTAGTTCAGAATTGTTAATTCAAACTTTGTTTTGTTTTTTATTTCTCAGCATCGTGCTCTGATGGAAGAATTGAGCCGTAGCAAAAAAGACTTTGAAGAAATCATTAAAGCCAAGGATAGGGAGCTGAAGGAGACCAAGGTATTGAACAGAAGTAGGATGCAGTATAATGAGACAAGTTGGTGCAGGCTTTGCTACAAGATTGCCCACTTTTTTGAAGCATCTGTTTTGCATCTTAAGGAAGCTGCTTGCTTCTTTTCCAGAGCTAGAGGACAAGTCACCTCCTTGCTTTCCTTTTCATGGGTGGGACTGAGTTTAGGGTGTATGTAGCTTCCAAGGCGTCTTCATATTGTTGACACCTGCTTACTTCTCACTTTTTAGAAAGTTCATTTCTCATGTCCAATATATTCTCCCTCGTAACCAATGCATTCTCAATAATCATTGATCTTGTGTGATTTTGGTTACAGGAGGAGAAAGAGAAGGCAAGAGCACAAAAGGAGGAGGCTTTGAGCCAGATGAACGATGTGCTAGAGAATGAGTTGCAGTGTACAATCTGCTCTGAACACTTTATTGAGGTAAAATATAATTAAAACAGATGAGACTGGATGGGAAAAGTTTCAAGAAGCATTATAATAGCATAGATACTTTCTTCCTCACTGAATCCATTCTGAAGTTGCACTATCCAATTTAATTCATGAGTCTGTTATTTATTTAGAAAATGTATAGGCCTCTTCTCCAGATTTGTATGTCTACAGGATATGGATTCATCTCTGTAGCTCTCTGCAGGGCCTATTCCCTGGTCAGATTACACTGATATATATGGTGCTGTTTGGCTATCACAGTGTGGGTAGCACCTTTGTCTTTCTATAATTCTTTTAAAGAGTTTTGTTGTGAAACATTAAAATATATATTGAGGCTGTTGTCTGAGAATTATTTTTTTCTGAATTATTCAGAATGTTGTGGCAATGTAACTAGTTACTTCCATTCACTGGAAATACAGTTGCTGGTAAACCTTTTCAAGAGAAAAATACAGAGAGGCTTACTTGCTTCACTTTTAATGCCAGGTTTGGCACTACGTGAGTGAGCCTTGACAGGATATGAGCATTCCTCTCCTTGTGTGCTCTGATTTTAAGAGGGATGTGAAGGGCAAGTGCAAACCATAGCTTACCAGTTCAGGTGTAACAGTAAGCTCTGGTTTGCCATGAAACAAGAAGGGAGAGAAGAAAGGCATGAACTTATGGCTAATTCAGGTAACACCAAAGCATCATGTCATAATTTTGGATTACAGATTTCTTTTAGCATCAGTTGAATATGCTGAGTGTGCCCAGGCAAATAACCTTCAGGCAGTATGATAGAGGGGAAGCTGTAGAATTCTAGTCAGCTATAAATCAACAACTAACAACTGGGCATTCTTTACTAAGATTAGAGATAAAAACTCCAATTTATAGATGCAGCAAGAGCTGTTCTTAGGTTAAAAAACAAAACCTTTAGGCTTATCAACCCCCAAATAAATCAAACATTGCGGTGAAGAGAAAAAAAAGAAAATAAACCTCCCGGAGAATACAGGCGAGCGGCTGCCTCTGTCCACTGACAAACCGCAGTTGAATATGCAATTTCTTAGTAAAGGTGGGAAGCTGTGTATCTTAATCTGTTGCTTTTCAAATGTTACAAAGACATCTTGTTTATGATATGATAAATGTGTATGCTCTGTTTTATAGTGTTTATTTAAAAATGTACAATTTCCAGTAGCTTACACAAGAACTATCAGTGGATCCATCTTTGAGTAGTCATTATAGCATTAGTTCAAGAGGTAATTAGAGGGAATGTGTTAAACAATATCATATCGAGCTTTGCATAATATTCCATAACAGAGAAGTTGTTCTTTGTTTTCAATGAATTCTTTCCTCATGAAGTTTCATACTGACTAATAAATGGGAAGGGTCACCAAAGGCAGGCGCAGGATTAAGCTTGATCACCTGGCTTCGACAGCTGTGCACACCCTCTCTGCCACCAGTCTCACTCCCCCACTTCCTGAAGATAAATAAAATCAAAGGTGCTGCTAATGAGATAACTTCTTCCTCCCTACCCTCTACAGAACAATGAGATAACTTCTTCCTCCCTACCCTCTACAGAACAACCCTGGGCTTTATCTCTCTGAAAGATGTGAGCTGGCTGGGATTGTATTCTCTTTCTTTTTCTCTCTATAAATTATCAAATTAAAAAAAAAGAATACAGTCTTCAGAACAGAGCTTTGTTTTAAAGTCAAAAATAGAGTGGGAGTATGTGTGTCACAAAATATAATCAAATAATACTCAAACCAAAATGTCACATATGCAGAGAAGACGCACACCATAAGAAATTAGAAAAATCCATCGCATTGCATGAAAGATAGCCATACAAAATGTTAGCACTTGCCTATGTTAATCATTCTCTTCCCATTATGTTATTTTTTCCAAAAATGTACTTTCTTCTCACAAGCAAGGAAATAAAGCACTTTTACTTTTTTTCAGTGATAAATGGGAGAGTACTCAGACACTAGTCCACTTTTGTTTTTACAGGCTGTCACTCTAAACTGTGCACACAGCTTCTGCTCCTATTGTATCAGAGAGTGGATGAAGCGCAAGGTGGAGTGTCCAATCTGTAGAAGAACAATATCGTCCAAGACACGATCGCTGGTTCTAGACAACTGTATTGATAGGATGGTGGAAAACCTGGATGCTGAAACAAAGCATCGTCGCCTGTCACTCATGAAAGAACGAAAAGGTGAGAGGTGGGTCTTCGGCATTTGAATTTTGCTTAACACTTATTTACCTTAGTGACCAATTAGAAATGTATCAGTGGCAAAGTGGGCTTCTGTCCACATAGGAGAGGTTAGTTTTTTTTAAAAAAGCATATCCAGTACAGTTCTAAAAACTGCTTTGGGTTCAGCATTTCAAAAATGTTTCTACAAGATGTCTGATCAACACTTTTTCCACAGATCTTGCTAACTATTGGAATGTTGGTTAGCCAGCTAAATCAGCTGTTTCCTTTGTGTCACATTAAAATAAACTAATGTGATGCAAGCCACGAAGGTTGTGTTTTCTGCAAGAGTCGAAAATTCTGATTTACATGTATGCTTATGTTGAGGCATGATATAGATATCACTTCAGTGTTTACTTAACTCACATCTAAAAACTTAAGAATTGAATGGGACAATATAGGGTTTTTTTTTAAAGCTTTTCAAACATTGCAGGGTGGCATAAAGGAAAAAATAAAAACATAAACATCAGTAAAAATAATAATACCCAAATAATGCAGCAAGAAAAAGGCAAAGAACAGGAAACATGTTGAAGATGCTGTCCTGAATGAAAAAGTTTTCACATGTTTCCAAGTGGAGCAAGGTGGGATTTCACAGGGGAAAGTGTTCTAGAGCTCTCAAGCAATCATTGAGCAGGCTATGAGATGCATGGAGATCATCCTAATATCCCTGAGTAATGGAATTTGGAGCAGAGTCTCTTCTTAGATCACGGGGAGGTTCATATGTGAGTAAACACTCTTTGAAATGCCCAGTTCCCAAGCTGAAATAATCTGAGCATAAAAACATCCAGTTTGGTGTAGTGGTTAAGGGCGCAGACTCTAATCTGGGGAAACCGTGTTTGATTCCGCCCTCCTCCAAATGCAGCTGCTGGCATGACCTTGGGTCACTCACAGTTCTCTCAGAGCTGTTCTGGAAAGAGCAGTTCTCAAAAGAGCTCTCTCAGCCCCACCTATCTCACAGGGTGTCTGTTGTGGGGAGGGGAAGGAGATTGTAAGCCGCTCTGAGACTCAAGTTGAAGGGCAATGTATAAATCCAATCTCCTCTCTCTTCTGAAACCTCTTTTGGAGAAAGGGTAGACAACCACTACAAATCCTTGCCCCTAATTCTGTAAGGTATTCTTGAAGGATACCAAGATCAGTGATTCTGAAAACAGCTGGGATACCTAGGAGACTCAGTAGGGTCACATGATCCCTCAGTCCTTCTGATGCAACATTCATTAGGTGACCAAAGCAGCCTCCACCCCCAAACCAGATTCATCCAAACAGTTACAACCAACCCTACCAACACTGGGTATAGAACTGATGTAATATATCCAGGGGTCATTTCGTAGAAAAAGAGCTGCAGGAGCTCATTAGCATACCTAATAAGCTATTAGCATAATAGCTCATTAGCATATGCCTTGCCCCCTGGCATCACCAGAAGTGATGTCAGAAAGGGAATCAAAAGGGGGGGAAGAAATCTTCAAAAGCATCCCCTTCCCTTCCCCAGCACTTTAAACCCCTTCTCCATCCCCCCCCCACCGCCTTGGCAGGCCGGCTGGGAAAGGGGAGGCTTTCGAAGATGGCCCCCCTTTTGTTTCCCCAGCCGGCCTGCCAAGCGAAGAGAGAAGAGGTTTAAAGTTTAACCCCCTTCTCTCTCCATTCTATTCTAGGGGACCATAGAATAGAATGGAGACTCCAGAGAGAAGGAATTTAAACCCCTTATCTCTTCACTTCCCCTCCCCCCAGCCCACCTTGGCAGGCTAGCTGGGAAAGGGGAGGGTTTTGAAGATCTCCCCCCCCCCCTTTTGCTTCTCCAGCCAGCCTGCCAAGGCAGGCTGAGGTGGGGGGGAAGCAAAGAGAGAAGGGGTTTAAAATTTAAACCCCTTCTCTCTGGAGTTGCGCTGCAGAAGCGGCACTATCTCTCCATTCTATTCTATGGGGCCATAGAATAGAATGGCGAGATTGCACCGCCGCTGAATATATCTAAGCTGGATCAGGTGTCAGCAATTTTATCTGTAAAGAATCAAGGCAGTCTACTGAAGGTTCAGCATGTTTTTGTAGGGAAGTCCAAATTAAATTTCTGACCATATGAAAAAGCTTCACTGGATGATTATTTTCATGTGTGCTGTTGTCAGAGAAGAATATTGCATATTGCCTGGAGAAGGGACATGAAGAGCAGAAACCCCCCCAGGAACATCTTGTTGCCACATTGGCCCCAAACTTTGTTGTACACTGTCCACCAGTGAAGCATTAATGGGTGAGCATTTAGCTCCCTGACCAGTCATGAACAAAAAACCTACTGTACAAGCCCCTGACACGTGTGCATCCCTGAAAACTTTGGAAGGCTGCTTCTTTCTCCCTTGCTGGTAGTAAATCACAGCAGAAATTGGATGCTGTTGCTTTCTTATGTTATTGCTTTGTTTTCTGGAGCCCAACAGTTTGGGTAAGTCCTCCTTGTTTGGAATGGAAAGGGTGTGAGTTGGTTTACACTTTATTATTTATTTATTTATTGGATTTCGACCCCGTCTTTCCCGCCATAGCAGGCTCAGGGCTGCTTACACAAACACTACACAGCTAAAACAGAACTAAGTAAAATCATGACAATATAAATATAAAACATTACAAAGTGCTAGTGCTCAAAACAGTTCATATACAGCGGCAGGCATGAACAGCAGCCAGCAAGCAGGCAGTCAGTTCTGAATTGATCTGAATGTATCTGAATTTAAAAGGCCAGACTAGAACCATGGCATTATAAGTTGTGAATGGCGTGCACGTGACAGTTGGGATTCTTCACAGTGTGAAAGTGGCTTAGGCCTCAGTTCTCAGGAGTTTAAACAGTAAAGTGTGGAGTGTCTCCAGGTGGAATTGCCAAAGAAAATTCTCATTGGTAAGCTGCCAGCCTTAATAAAGTATTGGCATTGTTTTCAGCTAATCTCTGTTTTTGTGTGTGTGTGTGTGTTTTTAATTGCAGGGAAGCAAGTTGCTCTGGAGAGTCCCGCGTCAGAAAGTGAGAGCAGTAGCCTTACTTCTTTCTCAGACAGTGAGAGCAGTAGTGTTACCTCAACATTAGACAGCGAGACTAGTAGTCTTACCTCTGTTCGCTCCATCATGTCAGTCAGCAGCTATGAAAGCGATGACTACGAGGGGGACTCCGATAGCCAGCACGTTATCTGAAGAATGTGGGTTGCGCCCTTGCAGCTGGTTGTAGTCTGCTGGGAGAAAGGACTGGATGTTTGGAACAACGAAGAGACTGGAGTTTAAATTGTGGATTTAAAGGGTCTTTTGTTTTTTCTTAAATGGATGTATAACATCTCCAAAGCATATCATCAAACACTGTAGGACTCAAAACCCGCTTTTCATCCTAGGCCAGTGGCGACTGTAAACTTCTGTTTCTGTTGTTGATTTAACTAATTCAGGAAGATAACATGCTACTTAGCTTGAAGGTACCAATTCACCTCAGCCAAATAACTATTTTGAGTATATCTGTCATCTGTCGTGTAGGGGCTGTGGACCCTGAAGCATTTGATTTTGAAGGCAGCTTTTACTTTATAGTAGTGGGTGGGCAGTACAGACAGAGTACTGGGGTGAGGGACAAAGTTACTTCCCTTGCTCACTTCTGCAAACTTAGCCATAGCTGGACAATGCTGTAAGCCTGAGACCAGCAGCTTCCTTTTCCTTAGGCAAGAGGAATAGAGTGGGCAGGGCAACTTCTGTGTTTCTGGCGGGTTCCATGTCTGTGAGTAGTTGGGTTCCATTTAACTTTTTGGAAGGTTTAAGTGTGGTGAAAGGCCAGGTGTCCAGGACATATTTGGCTAGTGGGCCATCAGTTTCTGTCACCATCTTTAAATTGCAGGTAGTTATACCTGTTGTTATTCTGGAGTTGTAGTAACAATCTGTCCAAAGCTTTTTGTTCAAAACAGAACAACACAATTCAAAGCGCATGTGGTGGCTGCCAAAAAGGGCAGCCCAATACTGGCCCCCATCTATTTTAGCCCAGTCCTGATGTCATTATGATGTGTGTTTCTCTCCTTCCTCTATATTCTTGATTGCTGCTTGCAGGAGAAAAGCAATGCATTATAATGGTGTGGCCTGTGTTAAAGTAGAAATTATGGAACAGGGTGTGAAACTTGATGTCTGGCAGCCCATGTTCTTTGTAACTGTCATTCTTGTGTAGTATTACCCTGAGTTTCACATCTTTTTGCAACGTAAGCTTGCTTTGATAATAGTGAGCTTACTTCATTAATTCCCCGTATGGCCACATAAATATGTTGAGTCTACCTGGCCGCTATTGCTTTAAAAAAGTGGAAGTAGTTGCGAAGGTTAAATTAACCCTTCCCTAAGCACCAAAGAATCCTGTACCTAAATTCCAAGGAAAGCATCTTTAACTGGTTTCCCTTTAAGCCCTGTTTCCAAGATTGAACGGCAGAAGTCTAAAATGGTAACAAGTACTTTTGTATAGGTGGGTTGCTTTGGCTTTTGCAGAAATACTGTTCAGTAGATGGGATGGCCGAGTGAAAAGATGTATCTCCCAATAAATTAATGTGATAGTTACATATTTATCAGTGTTCAAAAATTGTTGCTGGAATAAGTTTGCACCCCAGGATCCATTTCAGGGGTTTCAGTTTCAAACTAGCAAGTATGTAACTAAGTAGGCAACCTTTCTATATTTGCTTGTTATATATAACTGGAGGTTGATCGTTATTTATTTAAGATATAAGTTGTGTAAAAGGAAGAAAATTCTTGTTTCTGTTTTGTACAGTCACACAAGCTAATATCCATTGCTAAGGAACAAATGGATAAATACTCCCCTTGCTGTCTGTGCAGACATGTCTGGCCACCCCTCTTCCCTTCTTTGCTCTCATACTAAGAAGTTCCAAACTCTGATATGAACAGGTTACTTCAGTATCACTTAACATTCTCTTGGGAGTATACTATTGTCAATAAATTATTGCAACACATTCATAAATTCCAGAATGTAGTTCAGGCCAACATGTCCTTGAAGCAGAACTGTCCATCTCACTGTGGACACTGGGTTGTTGGAAGTCACTGCTGCTTATATGCACCCTTCATGTGACACACAATATAATGGTCATGTGTTACAGAACGTAGGTTTTGTACAATTAACCGATGTTTCTGAGGAAAACTAACATGTGAAACAAGCTGTAATGACCAAAAGGGGATTGAACATCTGCTCTAGGAACCAGTGCAAACTATTCGGTGATCAGCTGGTATATTGTGTTCTTCCATGGTCTTAGGGCCAAACTCTAGAAATGATGTAGATTAGTAAACAGGATTTCCTGTGGTTCTTCTGTCTGATTACCTTAGGGCAGTAATGTGGAACTGCTAATTTAATTAGGGGAAACGGTGCTGAGGAAAAGGGCTGTTACCTCTGTAGCATCTAGTTTGGCCTGTAGAGTGATCAGTCCTGATCCTTAAATGTTTTCTTGGTGCATCCCTTAAGTTAAAATAACGGGCTTACCCCACTTGGCTTTTAGAATGTGTGTGGGGTGGTTATGATTCCAGCACCAACCACACAGGTACCCGTCTGGTATTTTCTGTAGAAAAAGTGAGAGCCAGTCCTTTCTACCTTGGCGAAACCTCTACAGAGCACAAATGTTTTTCTGTGTGTATTCATGTTGTACACTTTCTTTTGCGCCTGTTCTATTTTTTTCAAATATATGCACTACTTTTTTTTCTAATTCGTATCTCTTCTGATTTCTGCCTTTGAAGGAAAGAGAACCCATTTGTTATCTTTGGGTAACTCCCTTTCCTGAGCAGCTAACATTACTACCAGTATAAGGCAGGTCCAGCAAATTTGACATCCATTCCTTGCAGGAGAACTGAAGGTGATATTCAAAGTAGAAACACACATACAAAGTTCAGCAGCAGAATGCAACAGCCATTGTGGGCAGGCTTGGCAGAGATTATAAGAATGGAACTAAAAGACGTGAACAAAACTTGTAAGGACATTTTCAGTTGTCGGCTGTAGAAGAAAATAACAGTAAATTGGCGTGATCGGAGTTTTTAATAGTCCTTGATGACAGCAGTGGATTTGGGCAAATGTAGATGCATGACAAAAGTTGCTGGCTTTTTTGGCAAGTTGAAATTAACTTAATTTAATTACTTAAATTATTTTGGCAAGTTGAAATTAAGATTGTTATTTGGGATCTTCAGAGGTGTACACAAAAGTGATCTAATAAAATCCTCATGGTTTTACATGTTTTATAGATAATATCCTACTGCAGGGAAACGTCAGGTAAGAGCATAAGGAAAAACTGAAGTGAGTTCTAGACCATCATAAAAAAAGAATTGTATAAACAAAAATGCAAAATTCTCATGTCAGAAATAATACCTAATCATGGAAGGTTAAACTTGATTGTTCTTGGCAAAAATGTTTAGCCCTATGAGCTAGGCTGATGATTTCTAGGAATATACGCTGAGGTAGCAAAGTTTGTTCCAAATGTGACACTGACATCAAATAGACAGCTGTTTGCACAGAGTGCTGAGTTTTACTGGGGGCCAATCCATGAACACAGCAATTAAATGAGCTGTTAACAAACACCTGGACATATGACAAATGTGAAAGTACCAGGGACGTGAACTTGGTGCAGCTCAGCTGCTGCATATACTTTCAAAGCATTGACAACTAACTAAAAGAACTATGCTCAAGTAGGAAGAATAGAAGAAGAGAGAAGAAAATAAGAGATTGGAGTTATACCCTGCCCTTCACTCGGAGTCTCAGAGTGGCTTACAAACTCCTTTCCCCTCTCTGTAACAGACATCCTGTGAGGTAGGCTTGCCCCACATCATCCAGCAGCTGCAAGTGGAGGAGTGGGGAATCAAACCCAGTCCTCCCAGATTAGAGTCTGCACACTTAACCACTACACCAAACTGGCTCTCAGCTGGTAACAGTATTTAGGCAAATAAAATTCCACCAGCTGAACAATGATTGTTGAAAGAAACTAAGCATTTGAAATCCTTTGTATTATGCACTTCCAAGAATCCAAAGATGGCCTACTAATGCTACAAAGTATTAGCTATGTAAGGTACACAGTTTGAGCAAAGCACATGATTCCAGGGGTATATAGATTTTTTTTTTCTGAGGCTTCTTCAATCTTCATGATGTCTCATTTGCCAAACTAAGAATTTCAAACATTCTTGCAAATAACAGAATCTGGCAAATCTTATTTTAAAAAACACAAAAACTGTTTTGCAATGATGACCAAATGGAATGGTAGAAGATATCTGTGCTTCATTTTGGAATATACAGGAACTGTCTGCTTGCCTTAACTCAGGGAATGGCTATTTTTGGGCAGGAAATTGGCCACACTCACTACAGCCAAAACCTCTGCCTGAGTGGCTACAGGGGGAAGGCCTGGAGAGAGATGCGACTCGGGGGGGGGGGGGGGGGGAGGGAGAAGGATTGGGGAGGCATTTAAATGCCTCCCCATGCCTTCCCTGGATTGTTCGGGCGTCTCGTAGCCACGGGGTGCCAAGGCAAGCCAAGGGAAGGCAGTTTAAACTCCCTTCCCTTCTAGGGGGGGCTTGCCCGGGCTAGCCAAGGGAAGGCATGGGGATGTGGCCTAATATGCTAATGAGCTGTGCTGTCAGGGGGTGTGGTCTATTATGCTAATTAGTCCTTGCTAGGCTTTTTTTTTACAAAAAAAAGCCCTGGTTGGGAAAATGGTTTGGTGGTGGGAGTAGCCTAAAGAGGTCTTTGAGGAACTAAATCCCATTGTATCCAATAAGCTGCAATCCCAAAACACTTTTTTGGGAGAAAATTCCATTGAACATAGTGGAACTCATTACCCAGTAGAGGAAAAAGGTAAAAGTCGGATCTACATGGATCCTCATGAATTCATATGATTTTTACATTGAAATGAAATAAAATTACCATCATATTGTAGGCCATGTGTTAATCTATAGAGGGCACCACAAAAATCACGCATCCACAGATTTGTGGCACCACAACAGCGCAAACACATGATTCCAAAGCACAGATCCTCATGAATTCATATGATTTTTACGCTGAAACAAAATAAAACCACCATCATACTGCAGACTATAGGCAGCACTCCAAAAACCATGCCCCCACGAATTCGTGGCACCACAAAACTGCAAAAACATGGTT